TATTACAGTTGCTTCCATTTGGATGGGATAACTCATATAGCAGTCACTATAATCATGGCCTCATGGGTAATGCATTTGTGGAATCTCACAGAACTTGCTGAAGGAACCTGCTTGAAGAATTATGAATATCTGGGGAGTGGGGAGGTTTATGACAAAGTGAACAAGAAATGGACTCTTGAGCTTCCAACAGATTCTCACTTGCTAGTATATCTTTTCTGTGCTTTCCTGGAGCACCCCAAGTGGATGTTGCATGTGGATCCTACATCTTATGCCAGTGCCCAATCTAGCAAGAACCCTTTGTTCTTGGGGGTTTTGCCTCCAAAAGAAAGGTTTCCTGAGAAATATGTTGCTGTGATATCTGGTGTCCCCACTGTTCTTCATCCAGGAGCTTGTATACTGGTTGTTGGGAAGCAAAGCCCTCCAATCTTTGCCTTGTATTGGGAAAAGAAGCTGCAATTTTCTCTGCAGGTAAGTTCTTTTGAAGTCCATGGAACTTACTGTCCATCTCAATTACCTTGAATGGTGGATATTGCTAAACTCCTTGTTTATCACTACATTATGTCCAATTAATATACTGAATCCCATGGAACTACTATTTAGGCACCAATAAAGGTGATATGTTTTGTATAGATCAATATCCATACTGTGATTTATCAAAACAAAATCAATATCCATAATATGTTTTGGGGCAAAACTTTATTACAAAGCTAAATTTATACATCCTGGGCATTTTATTTGAGATGCTGGGTGATCCATGAGCCATGATTATGTATGGGGCTGAGAAGCTCTCTGAGTTCTACAAACAATTTTGGTGGTTTCTTAGATTTTATTATATGGGGGATGTTAGATTAGATAAGTTTGGACAAAACTGATGGAATCATCCTTAAATTAAGGGTGATTAGGGCATAACCCAAATTGGATCTTCTGATTACTTTGATTTGTGATTCTGGTTCTCATAAAGAATGCCAAAAGAGAAAATAATAAGAAAATGGGATAATGCAGAAAATTCATTATGTTTCATATAACTCCTTTGAGTTATGAACGTAGAAGGATTATATGACTTGTAAAAATTTTTGTGCAAGGAGCATTGGGGAAGTAGTTGTGTACTTACACATGCATGGCTGTGCAAAACTAGAATCAAAAGAAGGTACATAAGGAGCATGTCTCAAGCAATAAATTATCAGAGTTTATGCCTTTTTCATTCCATTTAGTTGGGTGCCATTGAACTTAGAAATGTTGGCACTGTGAGAATTTTCCTGATATATTGTTCACACTTCACACTACTCTTGGTGCTTGAACAATACTAGAAAGAAAATGATTCAAATCTGGTTACTGCAGGATGGACTGTTGGCCCCCCAGAGTCGGAATGAAGTTTGGTTAATGCAGGATTCAATACTAGAAAGCAAACGATTCTTTTAGCTCTTTTGGTGCTTGAACAATTTTATATCTAGCTCAAATATATGGACTGTTGAAGATTCAAAATCCTTTTTCTTTTTAATTTTGTACAAAAAAATGAAATCAGTCAAATGGATTTCAAACTTATTCTTAGGTAAATCAATTGTGAAATGCTTTAGTAGAATGCTCAATCTGTTTTCATCTTCTATCTGAACATGTACAATTTTCATAATTGATTGCCATTTGAAAGGTAGTCATCAAATTTTTTAATGAATACTACCATATATAATATTAATTAAATCCAACCCCATGGTTTTGCATTTTGATTTGATTTTAACAACATTTTGTTACAACTACCGATGAGGGTGGGTCTTGGTGCAACGGTTGGGTTTCTCCATTGCGACCAGGGTTCAAATCTTAGAAACAGCTTCTCTGTATGTGCAGGGGTAAGATTGTGTATATCTGTCCCTCCCCAGACCCCGCATTGGCAAGAGCCTTGTGCACCGGGCTGCCCATTTTTCTTTTATGTTACAACCACTGATTCATGCTTATTCTTCTTAAGGGACTGGCATTTTCCTCCTGTGCACAGAAATCATGGCATGCATATTAAGCATGATTTCATGCACATTAATTATATACAATGCTGTTTCTGTTTTGTGATTTTAGTGACTGATTCTGGTGCCCTTTTTTTCCCAGGGGAGAACAGCACTTTGGGATGCCATCTTACTTCTCTGCCATAGAATAAAGTTGGGATATGGAGGGATAATCCGGGGCATTTATCTTGGTTCATCAGCTTTCAGCATCCTCCCTGTTCTTGATTCGGAGACTGAAGACTGACAGCAATCTGGAACATGTTCTGTTTGTTCTTTAAGGATGTTTATTTTCGCCTCTACATGACGTTTCACTGGTTTTTCTCATCCAAAACCAACGGGGCCAGGTGAACTATATGATCAAAAGATCACATCGCTTCTGCTTGGGGCAGAATTTCATTTATCAAGATGCATGTTGTACAAGGATCAAGTTCCATTGTCTGAAACCGGGGGGTAAAAGGCATTTTATGATAGGATACCTGGAAGTTTGAAATTTAGCTACACAAACTTCGTTGCAGGCCAACCGCCAATGTGATCAATTTTTGGACTTTGGAGTACTTTAAGATCAAACTACTGGATACATTTAGTTTGTTGCTCTGAGGCTGGGTTGGTTATAGTGGTTTTATATGGCCAATAATGACATTTAGCTAGGTTATCTTCTGACATTGTCATACGTTGACCCCTTTCAAACCCCCCGCCTGTGCAAAAAAATAAAATAAAATAAAGGATAAGCATACTAATAATATTATGTTCTTATGGTCAACAATAGCAATCGATCGGGAATAATCCAATGAGCTTTGTCTCGTTGAGTGAATCATAAACATCCTACGTAATTCATTATGCATTGGCTGCAAAATACTGAAATAGAGAAAAGATCAGAATTTATCATATTTTTTTCTTTCTTATGTTTATAAGTACACCGACATTCATGTTTTTAGTCAAATGACCACTCTTTCCTGCTAATGACAAAAAAAAAGACATCAAATACCGATTGCGATAAACTTTTTTTTGGTCATGTATGATCACTTCTCCCATTCTGGAATGAGTTTGCTATATGGGGAAAAAAACCCTCTTCCAGGGTGTAAGAGATCATTGCCATCATTTGCTTTTCAGCTAACAGATGCAACTCCCGTAATCTGAGCACAATGCTCCTGACTGGCTTCTTTTTGCGTTTGCAAGACATGTGGGAGAGGTGCAATAATTTCAATAACCTGCAATCAGAATAGCCATATCGCCATTGCATATCTTAAGATTGAAACAACGAAATACTTCCAGCTTTGTACAACATTAGAAGCAAAGTAGGGGGAAAAAGTAATGTATTATGCACTTGATACTCTTACTGCCGCCCCATTACATTGAAGAACAATAAAAAATTGTACAAACACAAGTTTAAGCACGAAGAGTAGCAATTACATTTTGATTTGTTCTTGTCCTTTCTATGTATGGTTTTCTTTCCCCACCCCAGAGAGAGAGATAGAAGACTTAGATAGTCAGATACTCAGATTGCTAGACAAATGGGCTATCGGCCACGTTGAGGAATTGATCCTTTAAAAATGACATTATGAATCTTTTGTCATGTGGCAGAAGGTTTCATAAACCCAGAACTAGCCACATATGTCAAAACTGTGAACTCATTTTACACTTGTCTTTATAACAGTAAAGCGCGCATGTTTTACAAAAACATGAAGGAAATACGCCTTTTGTGTAGTTATTGCTCCATATCATACAGGGATTTAATGCTAAAACTTTTAATTCAGATATAAATAAGATCATCACCCAATATTGGTTCCAGATGTCTGGAATAATATTTGGTGGAGATTTGAGATCTATAGTTTGATCAGCTGGCTCTAAAATTTGATTCAATGGTTTTTCCAACTACGAGATTCAGGAATAATCTACAGAAAAGAAATTATTCAACATCAAAAGTTTGTCCTTTTTGACATAAAAGCTGTGCTATATGAATGCCAGTTCTCATACCAGCACACATGATCCAGAGTAGAGCTGTAATCAGGTCTAAAGATTTTGTATCGGATTTGGATTTAATTCAAATCTTCACTATTTTAAAACTAAAGAAAAATTAAAAAGTCATTTTTTAAATTTGTATATGTAAGTATTGAAATTTTATACAAAAAAAAAACACTGAATTTAGTCATCATCATCCAAGGCTTATCCCAACTATATGGGGTCAGCTATGAGTCCCGTTTTGCCAGTTCTGGTACTGCCATATCTGATATCTGTCATTAAATCATTTCTCAATTATGACTTACGGTCAAAATTATATAATATGCATATTATAAACTTTAATTCGACTCAGATCCAAATTAAATTTGACTTTTCTTTTTTATTTGGTATTTTGACTCAATCTGATTATTAAACTGATACAAATTTCAAAATCCAAATCCGATCCTAGTATGTAATGTCCAAATTGAAAATAAATCAGATATTGGATGTTGGACTTTCAAACTCCATTGACACTTGACAGCCCTAATCCTGAACCAAGTTATACTCTATAGTATGTAATCTTCCCATGATTGATTTGAACCTAGAAAGTATTCCATGCTACTAACTCTTAAACTTACCTTCTTCATGGTTGGATGATGAAGAACCAGATGATGGGCATGCAAATAGTAGCCACAGTCTCCAGGAACAGGATTGATAGGCCGCTGATAACCTCTGCAAAAGTGAAAAATGTGTGCCAGATAAATCAATTTCACATGGCACTAAAAACAATTGTCAGAGATGATGTGTTATGACAGGAAACTGTCCTATGAAATGCATCTATATAAATTGGGTGAAAAAAGAGAGCAAGCATGCTAAATTTTAAACTAAGCCTATTATGCCATGTACAAGATTTTATACACCATTATTGCCTTCACCTGTCCACTACCTCATACTGAGATTTGACATAGAGCATCAGAAACTTTGCCATAGTTAAGGTGTGAATTGATTGCTTAAATGAAGAATCCTTTTTTGATTTTCTTATGACCTTATTTAAAGGTCTCTACCATATAATGCCGATACTTGCCTAAGTTTTGTGTCCAGATCACCATGTGGAAAATCCTATCATTTATTTTACTTTCTCCCCACTCGCACTCTCTCTCTCTCTAACCCCTGGCACTTTGCTTTGCCCATAACATTGCTTTCTAGTTTTTCATGATACAAGATTGTTTTAGAAATGCACAAAGAGCAATTCTTGATTCTCTAACCCAATCTACACCCATATAAAGTCATGCCCTCATCCTTCATTGTAACCTGACTTCTAAAAGGACAAGAGGGAGGTCAAAAACAACCTCTGTCCAGGTAGTATTAAATAGTTCATTCTTTACCATGCACAACCTTAAAGCCATATGGAGGAATAGGATGTTTGACTGCTTGGTCTTCCTCAAATTAAAACTCCAATAGCTAATTGACTCACATTTTAACACACTTATACATAATACATTACAATTCCCATACCCATCTTGGGCAAAATCATTTTCTCCTGATTCTGAGTTGAAGCATTTTGGATGGCCACCAGTAACATAAAGGGGATCCCCTGTAAACAGATAAATCATAGCTGTCAAATTTTTGGCATCAGAATAATGTTTATATTTCGTAACTATAGATTCAGATCAAAGTTGGAAAAAAACAATATAAGAAAATACAAAAATTTGAAGCCCAGAACACACCCTACACAATGCAAACTTTGCAAACTGCTCTTTTAAACAAACTTAAGACTATTGGCAAACAAAATGAAGAATCCAAGAACTAGTCATGAGATCTGTAGAAACTAATTTCATCTAATAGCTAAACAGATATATGTTCTTTTAACATTACTGAAAGGCTAGTGTTCTTTTAGACTCAATTCCTTTCTCCAAAGTGCCTGAATGTTTATTGTTCTGTCCCAGCAGGCATTTTGGCCTACAGTTACAGCCACATAGATGGCGTGCATGGAGGCATTGAAACCACCCATCTGAAAAGGATCCTCTGGATTAGCCATATATATCAAGTGCCATCCAAAACTTACATGTTCCATGTACTGAACTGTTTCAATAAAAATAGCAGCCGTTAACTTTATATGATGTATTTAATTTTTTGAAGCAAATATGGGCAAGAATCTGCCATATGGCAGTGAGCTATTTGGCCAAAACTTGACAGAGAAAAGGTGATGTATCACCAAGGTTCTTGAAAAGGGATTCCTTATCCATGTTGGATACTTCAATTCTCTATGTAAAATCATTGATCAAAATTCCATGTAAATTTCACATCCTTAATGCAGGTAATGCGAGTGACAAATGTACAAATTGACTATTAACATGATTCCAAGACTGGTCAAAACAACACAAATGACTCTTGAAATTTTAACAAAATTTATCTGTGACTGGGACAAAATCCAGCAATTTCCTATCATTTTGAAACAAATTAGGATCAACCTCCTTCATACTTGGAAACATCCTTCTCTGTTTAATATTATCTTACCAAGAAAATTAATTCCCCCATTTTGAAATTTAAGGAGAAAAAGAACAGGTTTTCTCCAATGGTGATATGAATCAGCATATTTGCTAGCTGTTGAGTTGGTCCGAGTTGTTTTTTATTTAGTTAGGAAGTTGTTGGGCTTTAGGCCCATTAGTTTATGTTTTTTTTTAAGTTGTGACTGTTCATCTATATTAGTAGCCACCCTACTAAGGGCATCCTTGTAATATCTCATCCTTTAAGTTAAGTATAAATATAATGAGAGGTAGGTGGCTAGGGTTAATTCTGAATCCTGGTTGACTTCCTACTCTTTTCTTCTTCTCCTTTCTTCTCTWCTGCTGAAATCTTCATCTTCCCCCTCTTTCCTTTCACAAGAAACTCGACTAAATCTGCAATTAGTTATTTCTACTCTAGCCATTCAAGAAAGTTTTCATGTGATGTTTACCCCTTTCAATAATCCCTACTTTGCATGACAAAATACTACTAATTCATCTCTACCCCTGCTAAAGAGAATCAAGAGGAACACTTTCGGTAGGGCTGGTAATATGAATTAAATTAATGCAAGATTTGGGAACTTAAGGATTTACCTAAAAGTGGATGTCCTATGAATGAAAGATGAATGCGAATTTGGTGTGGTCGTCCTGACTGAATCTCAACCTACAACAGAAAACAAGAACGCAACAGAGTATAATATAAAGGTGTAATAGTTGGAAGAAGAAATGATAAACTCAAGTGTGGGCTTCAACTCTCCCTCTCTCTCTAATACAGACACATCCATATATTTCTTTCCAGCAGTAAGAACCTTGTAAATGTATTTCAATAAAGCAATTCATATCTATGGAGTTTGTCAGATTTCACTTACCACAACCATTTTCCTTAAATTGAACTAGCATTATTTACAAGTTCGCCATAAAAAGATACTGATTTCAAATAACTAAGGTAACCATTTACCCTTCATTTATTTGAAAATCAGGAATGAAGAGAAATTTTTTATAGAACATTTATATCTGCAGAAAAGATTAATCCCTTTTAACATCTGGGTAAATGCCCAAATGGTAAACAAACATAATATATACATCTGTTAAGTGGACCACCTGGACCAATGTGCAGTTGCCTGGTATATCTCTCTCCAGAACATCAACTTTGCTCAATGCTGGTTTCCCTACTTAAATTAAAAAAAAAAAAAATAGAAGGGTTATTCATTATACAAAAAGAATGCAAAATTGCATGGACAGATACTAGAATAACCGTGCAATCAAAATAAAAGAACTCAATAATAATGGAAACAAGTAAAAACTAATGTAAAGATGGTTAAGAATCATTATCAATTTGAGGCATAGTATGACAACCTTTTTCTTTGATAAATATGGTATAGAACCTTAACAGACACATACAACAATATGAACTAATTAGGTGGCAACAGTGAAGGTAGTCTCTTGGGTCTGGGCCTACATAACCCATGGATGCAATCTGAGGCCACTATATCTTGCCACTTGTTGCATATTTAGAGGGATAAGGACCCTCCATTGAATGAATCCCACTAATTTTTGGAGATTTCTATCAGATGTAATATGACCTTTTTTCCACCATCCACCTTTGTTTCAGTTAAAATATAGACTTGCAATCAAGCTTTTGTTGTATATGAAGTGAAAACCTGATGAAGAAGCCACATAAAGCCCATTTGCTACCCCTTGATATCGCATGATTCCAATTGGCTGCTTGATTATAACCTGTGATACATGGATAGTTTTCAATTTCCAATTACATAAAACTATGCTATTATATTAAGAATGGGAGAACAGGATAAAATATTCTTTTAACAGAAGATATAAACTTTCATAGAGTGGAATAGAGGAAAAGAATCATGGCACAAAACCCACTTAAGGCAGATGATAAAAGATTAAGAAGTAAAATCATAAAAGGGTATGACCATCATACCACCACCAGGTGAAACTGAAATTGATCAAATTCACATCAAAGAAAAAAAATAAAGAAATACACAAATATCAGATTGGTCTAAAACAAACATGAAATATATACCTAAGAACTGTCTCTTCCAATGATGGATAATGGATATTACAGATTACATGAAATTTAGACCAGATTTTATTTGCACAGAGTGATCTGTTTAGTGTACAGCCATAGGGCATGGTTTCCCAAAGACTGTCTTACAATGTAGTTTTGTATATGGGCTTTGCCCCTTTTTCTACCATTTTAGTACAAGTTTATCATAAAAAAATATAAAAAGTATGCTGAAAACCAGTGACTAAGAGTTACAATGCTTGGTTGCTTGCTAGTGTTTCCTCCATGCAAACTATGTAAAAGGACTAAGTTGACGTATTGAAAGATCCCAAAATAGCCATATCCATTTGTGGCAGCTCAAAGTAAGGATCTATGACTTCCTTTAGGGTGTGAAGGCGTAGATCCTTTTCTAGATAAGAGAACGTAAAAGAAATCTTATCAACAAGGGTGAAAAAGGAAAAGAGAAAGAGAAGTCACCTAGGTATGAAGGTAAAAGACATGGAAAAAGAAGAGAGGAAACATAGATTCCCTAGTATCTGCCCCGTAACAATCAAAGCCCATCATGCCCCTTACAAGTATAAACCTATTTCCAACAATCAAGAAAGGAAACATCTCCACCACCCCAACAACCAACCAAGATTCAATGGTAAGAACATGGTTCAAATCTCATTTAGGCATCTTTTCAACCTTCACCATGGAGACTGACCTTTTCCTTATTGAGCTAAGTGGAATTTTGAAAGTAAGATGGCTATTTGTTGTATTTTCCACCCTGTTGGTGGATTTTAGAACCCTTGGGAAGCTATGCATTCTGGAATCCACTTTCGTCCCCTAAGATACAATTAGACTCCTCCCTAGCATCTATTACCACAAGCCTGAATGCTTTTTTCATTCTTGCTCCCCTCACCCCATCCACCTCCTTCATCATGTTAATTTTAGTTATAAGCATAAACTCCATTAAAAACCAAAAGAACATGTTTCGTGTACTCCAAAGCCCTCATCATGTACTGCTCGGCTAATTCACGAAAGAAGCTTGAGAATGGTCATCACCCCTGAGGAACACAAGCCCCAATGCATTGTTCACTTGGGCAGATATAACTACCTTCTCCATATGCTCCTTATCTACTTTTCAAGACTCTTATGCTTGCTTCAACAGTGCAATCACTGTCAAACCTCAATAGCTTCGTTACACATCATATGGTCTCAATCATGGTAGTAATGGCACGATGCAACCCAGACAACCCCAGATTTAGGGTTGGGAGACTTAGTTCTCATGTCCATCTCCAGGGGTGGTCAAAGCTGGGACAGGATAGGTGTGTCAAGGCCCAGTTATACCTGTCAAGTCATATATGTTGAACGAGTATAAGGCCATGTTTGGAAGTGCTTAAAAATAAGTGCTTATTTGGGCCATTAAGCACTTATTGGTATTTGGGAAATAAGTACTTATTTTAAAAATAAGGGCTGGAACAGGATAGGTGTGTCAAGGCCCAGTTATACCTGTCAAGTCATATATGTTGAATGAGAGTATAAGGCCATGTTTGGGAGTGCTTAAAAATAAGTGCTTATTTGGGCCATTAAGCACTTGTTGGTATTTGGGAAATAAGCCCGAAATAAGTACTTATTTTAAAAATAAGGACTTATTTTTTAAGCCCAAATTTCCATCTTTTTTTTAAGTGCTTATACAATAAGCACTTGTTCAAAATTTTCTTCCAAAATTATCTCTAGTTGATTTTTAAAATACCACTTATAAAACTACCCCTAGTTGAATTTTATAAAAGTACTTTTGTAAAAGTGATTTTATAAAAACTTTTATAAAGTGCTTTCATCTTTCATAAAAGTACTTCTATAAAAGTGCTTTTATAAAAGTGTTTTCATAAAAGCGCTTTCATAAAAGTGTTTTTATGAAAGTAATTTAATAAAAGTACTTTCATAAGGGTACCTTGAAAATTTGAAAGAAAATGAAGGACAAAATAGTCACAAATGCTTATTTGAGAAAAAGACTACCAAAGGCTCAATATGAAATAAGTGCTTATTTTTTAAATAAGCACTTGAAAAGTTGGGTGCCAAATGCAAACAAGTGCTTATTCGAATAAGCATTTGTTTTTGAGCACTTATTTTTAACTTAAGCACTCCCAAACATGGCCTAAAATCTAATTTGGGATTTCACATCTAAAATTGTATGATAAACGGTTTAAAAGGAATAAAGCCAAGTATAGTAGGACGGAGGATTTGTACTTTATAGTTTATACCACCCTATTGACCTGAGCTCAACTCAGCATCTCCTGATCTAGTGCACATTCACCTGTTCAATTTCGCATCATATGCTTAAGCTGTTCGGTGTCCAGTGGGTGGAACCTCCTAGTGTCAGTTGTTTAGTCTCACCTTGGAGAATAGATGCTTTTAGCACGCGGGGAAAATCTTTGGAGGATGGTTCCTCTGGCACTGTGCTGGTGTGTAGGTGTCTGTGGAGGGAAAAGAAAGGTGGAACCTTTGAAGACAAGTCCTCATCCATGGAGAAGCTGTGTGAGAAGGTTGAAAGGTTGATAGTCAGATGGGTCTCTGTTTGTAGTCCTTCTCTAGGTTTAAACATCATTGGGAAAAAATGTACAAGATGATAGTTTTACTTTGTATGTGAGATTTACAGTGTCATTGTGCTTATGTTGTATCCCATTAGGGCAGTTTACATATATTGCTTGAATAAAAATCTCAAAATGTGTAAATAACTAAATATAAAGTACATACAGAGACAAAAGTGCAATGCCCTTTACATCCCAACAGCAACACAATACAAGATGTCTGTGGCCAGGCTAGCTCAGTACCCATTATACCCAACTAGTGTAAGAACACATGCTATGCATGTGCAAGTAAAGATAAAAGGATAAAGAGATAAGCACGGGCCAAATTAATATTATATTAGATAGATAGATTTAAATTATTGGCCCAGGTCTAAGCACGGGCCAAATTAATTGCCATCCCTAGTACGAATTGTGTTGATAATTAGGCAATACTCTATATTTCTCCTCACTTTATCTTCTAACAGAGTTTACTATCTTCTCTTAGCAACAGAACCAAAATTTTGTCAGTGACACAATAAATGTTAAAGTTGAAAGGGGAGATGAAAACTTATGACTACTTTGGACGGTCTACTTCTGATAGGACCCAGCCTACTCCACCTGTTGGATGTACTCCAAACCAGAACCCAAACAAACCTGGACACACCCCAGGGACCACACTACCCCACTCGACCTCACCAACTAAACCTACCATCCAGTATGTCTACCTGAGAAGGCCACATCAGGCCTGAGAATGACTAACTGCACATGGTTTCACATGTTAAACCTATAAGTATCAGTTGAGAAATGGAATGCATCATGAGAATTTTCCCCTGCTAATTCCTTATCTTCTTCTTCTTCTCTAAGGAGAATGAGTCGCCCTCGAAGCCAACTCCTGAAGTTGAGCAGTAACTCAACAATTGGTATTAGAGTCTTGATCCATGCCCAACACCAAATCAGTCTCGATGGAAGACAAAGTAGACAGGATTGAGGTTAGCTTACACAAGTTCGAAGGAGACCTGAGAGACATCAAGGAAGCTCTGTCAGTGATAATGTCTCAGCATGACAAGGCAGGCACCGATGGGGGAAAGGAACCAGAAGGTGAAAGGTCCAATGGCAGAAGCAGTTGCCGGAGTGGGGGTGTTCGGAGAGGGCTATGGGGCTACACTTCCCAACCTTTTCCGGTGAGGATCCGGTGGCTTGGATCTTCAGGGCTGAGAGATATTTTGAGTTCCACGAGACATCGGCATACCAGAGGGTCACCATCGCCTCCATCTCCCTGGAAGGTGAGGCCATGTCAAGGTTCCAATGGTACAAGAACTCCCATCCCCACATTACCTGGGCTGCCTTTACAGGGGAGTTGTGCATGAGGTTTGGATCATCTGCCTATGTTGATTTTGATGAAGCTCTGTCCAAGCTGAAGCAAACCACCACCGTTCGGGAATATTTGGTGGAGTTTGAGAAGTTGTTGACCCGCATCACCGGTTGGACTAAGAAGGCCCTGATCGGAAGCTTCGTGGGAGGCCTTCGGGAAGACAATCTGGAGATCAAAGCGTGGTGACCCTCAACGTTGTCTGTGGTAGTCGCTCTCGCCCGTATTTAGGAAGAGAAGCTCGACCAGCTTAAGAGGGTGAACCAAGGTCCTGGTCCTCACTTAAAAACCTCGCCAATTCGAGTGAAAGCTCCAATGAAGAATAGTGGGCTAGTGGGCCAAGCAGCATGCCCTTCAGACAATTGAACTAGGCCGAGATGCAGGCCCGGCACGAGAAGGGATTGTGCTACAACTATGAGGAGAAGTTCGCACTGGGTCACCATTGTAAGGTCCAGCAAGTCTACTTTCTGCAAACAGACGACCCCCCCAAAGAGATGGACCACGTGGAAGAAGATATGTCCGCTGAACATGATGAGATGGGCCTTAATGGGCCAGAGACCCCAGAAATTTCTCTTCAATCCCTCATGGGCCGAAATTCAACCCAGACCATTAAGGTAGAGGGGCTCTTGATGGGTTGGGATGTTATATTAATTGATAGTAGGTTCACTTTAAACTTTATTAATATTGGGCTAGCAAAACAAATGGACCTGGTGGAGAACTTCGCTGAACAGTTTTCAATCCAGTTGGCTAATGGCCACAAGCTGACTTGTGATGGTCTATGTAAGGGGGTGAAGTTGAAGATACAAGGTAAATGGGTGACAATTGATCTATACACCATGGAGTTCAGTGGGACAGACAGTCTTAGGGGGGCAATGGTTGCGACAATTGGGTTGCGACTCGCGTGGTGTGTGACTAGAGCAACCTCACCGTGGAGTTCTAGTTGAATGGAGTGGACCATATGTTACAAGGGATTAAGCCAAGGGTGGTGCCGACAGGGACCCAAGAATTTGACATGAAATACTGTCAATTGGCTCAATAACAAGTCCTTATACAAATAGGTCTCATCATGACAGACCCAATCATGCCGGTGACGAACTTAAACCAAAAACCAGAAGTGGACCAACTATTACGGCAATTTCAGGATGTGTTTAAGAAGCCCAAGGGGCTTCCCCCAATCTGGGCCCAAGACCATTGCATTCCTATACAATCTGGGGCCCCACCAGCTAATGTGAGGCCCTACTGGTACCCCCACTTCCAGAAGACTGAACTGGAGAAGATTGTCCAGGAGATGCTAAACCACAAATTGATTCAACCTATAGCACCAATCCATATTCATCACCATCCCTACTAGTCAAAAGAAGGGTGGAACTTGGCAGTTCTGTGTGGATTACTGGGCCCTCAACCAAATAATCATCAAGGACCGATTTCCTATTCCCATTATAGATGAACTTCTAGATGAGTTGAGGGCCGCCACAGTGTTTTCTTAGCTAGATTTACTCTCGGGTTATCACCAAATCCGAGGGCATCCTAATGATGTTCACAAGATGGCCTTCAGAACACATGATGGCCATTATGAGTTCTTGGTAATGCCTTTTGGCCTCTCTATTGTGCCATCTACATTTCAATCCCTGATGAATGACAATTTCAGGCCTTTTCTGAGACAATTTATACTGGTTTTCTTTGATGACATACTCATCTATAGTGTTGATTGGACCACTCAACTAGAACACTTAAGGATCACCTTGGGAATTCTTCAAGCCCACAAACTATACGCCAAGCCCAGCAAGTGTGCCTTCAGCCAGAATCAGGTCCACTACTTGGGCCACATGTGAAGGCGGGAAAAGTGATGGCTGACCTGGACAAAATCAGTTGCATGATATCTTGGCCTAGACCCACCACAGTGAAGGGGCTGAGAGGGTTTTGGGGTCTCACAAGCTACTACAGAAGGTTTATTAAGGGGTATGGCTCCCTAGCTGGCCCACTAACCTAGCTGCTCAAAAAGATGGTTTATTTGGACAGAAGAAGCTCAACAGGCCTTTGAGAACCTTAAGAAGGTTGTCACTTCACCTCCAACACTTGCGCTGCCAAACTTCACTCTTCCCTTTGAAATTGAATGTGACACATCTGGAGCAGGGTTAGGAGCACTCTTGATGCAACAGGGGCACCCCCTAGCTTACTTCAGCAAGCATTTGTCCCCTCAAGCTTAGTCAAAGTTAGTTTATGAGAAGGAACTTATGGCACTTGTCATGGCAGTCCACAAGTGGAGACCCTATTTACTGGGCCGGCAATTCATCATTAGAACAGATCAAAGAAGCCTGAAACATTTATTAGACCAACAGGTGTTGGACCCAACACAACAGAAGTGGGTCTATAAACTCTTGGTTTTCAATTACCGAATAGAGTACAAACTGGGTTCCTCAAATACAATTGCAGATGCCTTGTCTCGCACCCACAAATTGAAGACACTACAGACTTCCCAGCCCACCTTCCCTTAGCCAAGCAGCTTAAGGAAGAGGCCCGAGCAAACCCCACTTTATCCCAGATCAAAGCACAGTTACAACAGGACCCTTCTACAGTACCTGGGTACAAATTACAAGGCTCTAACTTATATTACAAGGGACTGATAGCCATGGCCCCAAACTCGATGCATTAGACAACCCTCATTCAACTCTTTCATGAATCAGCTACAGGAGGACACTCCGGTATACTTCGAACTTACAAGCGGTTAGCTACTCATTTTCATTTGCTAGGTCTCAAACAAAAAATTACAAACTATGTGAGAGCTTGCCCCACTTGCTAGCAACATAAATATGACATTCATGCACCGGCTGGGTTGCTTCAACCTATTCCTGTACCAGAACAGGTATGGGATGAAATCACCATGGACTTTATCACAGGGTTGCCTATATCTTCCGGAAAGTCTATTATTCCAGTTGTAGTTGATAGATTGTCGAAGTATGCCCACGTTGTGGCCTTATCACACATCTACACTGCATCTTCAGTAGCCCGAGCCTTCACCAGTGAGGTAGCCAAACTCCATGGCACACCTCAAATCATCATTACAGATTGGGATCCAACCTTCATGAGCAGATTTTGGGAGGAGTTCTTCAAGTTGTAAGGCATGACCCTGCATTACACCACTAGCTATCATCCTCAGCCAGATGGGCAATCAGATGTGGTCAATAGATGTCTGGAGACTTATCTCAGGTGTTTTACTAGTGAAAAACCTTGACAGTGCCTAAGGTGGCTTCCATGGGCAGAATTCTGGTACAATACTACCTTTCACAACTCCATTAGCACCACTCCCTTTAAGGTCTTATATGGGAGGGACCCTCCATCAGTCCTGCCTTATGAAAAGGGATCAGCTACTATGGCTGAAGTTGATACCCAACTCACTAAATGGGATGAAGTCTTGAGATCTCTGAAAGCTCGCCTGCTCAAGTTGCAACAACAAATGAAGCATTACTACGATAAACACCATAGGCAAGTTGAATTTCAGGTGGAAGACATGGTGTTCTTGAAATTGCAGCCTTATAGACAAATGACAATAGCAAGGAGGGTATGGAAAAAATTGGCTTCTCGCTTCTTCGGGCCATTTCGTATCATTGCTAGGGGCAGTCGCATACAAATTGGAACTACCAACATCTTCCTAACTTCACCCGGTGTTTCATGTCTCGCTACTGAAGAAGTATGTGGGTCCTAAAACTAGGATCAGTCCCACTTCACCTGACTTTGCAGAGGATGGAGAACTTATTACTCAGCCCGCCAGGATCTTAGATCAGTGATGGGTAAAGCAGGGACAAAAGTAAGTCCAAGAAGTTCTAGTGGAATGGACTAACTTACCAAAGGAAGATTCCATATGGGAATCCTACTCTCACCTACAGAAGTTGTACACCCACATCAACCTTGAGGACAAGGTGGCTTCCAAGGGAGGGCGAATTGATAGAACCCAACCTACTCCACCCGCTGTGTGTACTCCAAAACCAGAACCCAAACAAACCTGGACACACCCCGGGGACCACACTACCCCACTCAAACTCACCAACTAAACCTACCATCTGGTATGTCTACCTGAGAAGGCCACGTCAGGCCTGAGAATAACTAACCGCACATGGCTTCACATGTTAAGCCTATAAGTATCAGTTGAGAAATGGAATGCATCATGAGAATTTTCCCCTGCTAATTCCTCATCTTCTTCTTCTCTAAGGAGGTTGAGTCGCCCTCGAAGCCGACTCCTGAATTTGAGCAGTAACTTAACAACTTCATACTTGCAGAATCTATTCATATCAACATATGTGGCAGTACAAGCAACTAGCATACAAACAATCAGATAGGAAAAGAGGTACATTTATAATAGGATTCTACCTCATCCTTGTCAATTATTCCTGAGGCCAATGCTCGATACACCTTAGAAATTCTTCTCACTCCACCAAGATCCATATTGGATTTTCTGCACAACTGTAGAGTGTAAATCATAATATTCAGCATGAAAATAACCACTCCATGAAGAAATTTCATAGTGTTAGCATAACAATCAACAGCATGATCCAAAATTCTTGGTGCAATACAAGTCAAAGAAATTAAATTTTGTTATATATGAATAAAGAAAAAATAACAGATTCTCTTATTCTCTAAATGAAACTTCCCAAGTACCATGTGACGATCCAAAGGAAGGAATATACAAGACACTCTTCTGTTCAGGACACCTCAACTACAACTTATTGTTATACAAAAACCAGGTTGGGATCAAAACCATTCCTGTTAAAACTTAAAGTTTAGGAAATCTTTTGTTTTATATACATCTACAAGGCATTATATAAGTGGGATTATGCTATTTGATAAGCATTTAATTGAAACTTCTATGAAGCAATCTTAAAAAGCAAAAATAGAAGCTTTGAGCAAGTTCTCCATGCAAAAAGATTCCAAATAGTTGCACAGCATGCTTGATTGTCGAAGTAGTAGATAATATAAAATAAACTATGGATCTATATCATAATAAATTTAGAACTAATAAGAAACCCTCAAGAACCAGAATCAACTTTCATCAAATATCGACCCATCTCTGAAGTCTGAACAATTAAAGGATCAATTAAACTTTAAAGCGCAAACCAAAAAAAGATGGAATTTGAGCATAGTACAGGATAGTTTGGCTCTCAAGGATTTGACAATGGAAGACCATCATAACCTTCATGTCTTCATGCAAAACTCTAACAGAATCCACAAAAAATCAGGGTTTTATTTTTTATTTTCTTTTTGTTAAAAAGGCATTTAAGTCAATAAATCCTATCCATCAAAATAAACCAAAATTAGATAAACCAAGATTTATTTCAAGTCTTGAATTTTAAGTAAATTAAGATTTACTTCAAATCTCAGTTTCATGCAACATATGAATTCTTCCAAGCAACCAAAAGTTCCTGGAGTCTAAAAACTATAAGGATGAGAGAATGTGAACTATGCAATTTGTAGTTTCCAGCTTCCACCGGCAATTCTAGCCCATCCTGAAGCCGGGATGGTACATGGTGCCTTACATTTTCTTGGATAATGTGAGAGTGTTGTGTGGATATTAATACACTGTAGACTTAATAGATGTCAATGCAAAATTGCTGGTTTATTGACCAGAGAAGGTATCTAGGCATTTAGGAAGTGATTCATAGCTTCTTTCACTTTATTTTAATATTTTCCTCATTAGTTACCAAATAGAAAACAGTAAAGGTTTCTATAAAAAAAAAAGAAAGAAAGAAAGCAGTAAGGATATAGCCTATCAGATGTATACTATCTAAATATTCTAAGTACCCGAGGTGCCATTGATACTTCTACAGTTCTACCTACATTTAGTCACAGAAGAGACAAATTATAGCTTGCCCATCAAATTATATTTGTTCAGCAATAGAAACCACTGCAGTATGAGTCACCAAGGTTCCTCATTTCAAGATAAAACTCTAAGTAAAAACAAAATTAAATAGTTTAAAATTCAAAGTCATTCAAATAAACCTTAATGATTATTTATATGAGAAAATTATTAAAAGCACAGTGGGTTTTTCAAAGGAAGGGATGAAGCAAACACCTGTTGTCTCCAACAACTGATGTGCCTTCTGCAAAATATGCAGCAAGGCGACTTTTGGCAAGCTTTGACTTAGCACAAAGTAATATTCCTGCAAGACAATCAGAAACAAGCGGGAAATGTAACCAGAGGTGGAATCAGGGAAGAGCCAGAATATCAAATCACAAATTTGAATCTTCAAAAAAAAATTATACAAAAATATATGGCAATTGTTTTATGACTATAACAACAGACAACTTATCAATGTAAGAATAATGGACGTGGGAGAATGTTCAGAATGGAGATGATAAGTAGCAAAAAAACATATGAAAGAATGGAGTCAGAGATATTATAGAATGAAGCACCAATATAAATAGTATTGTTGACCCCATGTCCAAATTTGAGATTCTCAAAATTAATCTCTACAATTCCAATATATATACCCACTAATTGATCAGTAGTTAATAGAAAGATCAAAGAAGTGCTCTCCAATGCACAAAAGAAAGCACACCTGACGTTCCCCTTCCCAGGCGATGAACAGGAACTGGATGTTGTTGTTGAGCACCCGGGTTTGTAGAAAGCCCCAACGAAGTAGAAATTCCCTGGCATTCTCTCCATTGAAGTTGGGTTAAAACAGTCCGCTGCTGGAAAAGACCACCAGGTAGAACTTGGAGACCGGAAGGCTTATTGAAAGCAACCTAAATGTACATGTATAATTCCATTTCCAACCTCAACTTACATCTGGCAGTAGTAAATTCAAAGAGAAGACATGATTGCAAACGTTCTACCCCAGGAACAAAATATTTATCAAGTTAAACGACAATTACCAGATCATCATCTTCGTATAGAATTTCGAGTAGGTACGGTGCATCAGGCTCTTTCCAAGGAAGGCGGTGATACATTAATTCGGAACCCGCTCTACACAACCAAAAATCGTAAATTAGTCAACCAGAAACATTCGAGGGAAAAAAACAGTCGAATAAGACTTGATATTGAATCAAGAAAAAAGGCTACGATTAAAAACCTGAGAATTGTGTGAGGATCTTTAACAACTTCACCATCAACAGTTATCTACGGAGAAACCAAGCTAACCGTGACTTTCCAGATGAAACAGTACACAATTTATTTGCAAAAATCTATTCCTACCATATGATCAAATGACGAACCTGACCATTCCGGATCCTCTGCAACCAACTGTTACAGAATCAGTGCAAGAACAGCTGGGAACATGAGAAGATGGAAAAGTGGATGGATATATATACTCACCCTTGAAGGGGGGCTGAGTTCTTGTACTTAGTGGAGTAAAATTCTATCATAGTGGAAGCTATCAAGTGTTTGCTTTTGGTTAGTAAGATAAAACAAGGAAACAAAATTGAAGAGACGGGTAAGCCAGAATAGAACAGGATAGAGAGAAATAAAAAAAAAAATCGAAGCACCAGCATTGGAGGGTCGGACTGTATCGGTGTAGGTTAAGCCGTCGTTGAGATCGGGCCACGGCACTCCAAACGTCTCCCCCGTCTGCGCCCTTTCTTCTCCTACTTCTGTGGTTGGCTTTGACATCGTGGGCGAGCCGTGAAGCGCGAATAAGGCTGGGCGCGATACTTCAAATCAAAATGAAAAAAAAAAAAAAAACAGGTGAATGAAGGAGGATTTCGTTGCACACGACACGACTGACCTGACCGACCGTCTTCAGTAGTCTTCTACGAGGAAAGCAATGAAGATAAAAGTATGAAACCATTGGCTTACGTGTTCATTAAGACCCACTTTAGAAAGCTAGGTCCGGCTGGAATGATTCCAATCTAATGGTTTCTTTTTCCTGGATCAATTTGCTGATTCTTGATTTTAAACTTCTTGGCCACCCTACGGCAGCGTTGGCAGAGCTCTCCAAGCTTTACCCCGTGAACAATTGGTTGGTTTCTTTTTCTTTTTCTTTTCTTTTATTAACTACTCATTTACAAGCAATGACACAGGGAATGGTTCCATGAACAATGAAGAAGACTTTCTCAAACATCTCTAAAACTTACCCTACTTGTTGCCAACTAGTCCTTGATCCCCAACTCCTCGTACCACTCACTATATAAGTGCCTCCTTTGCCCTTGCCTCCAAATTGTTTCACAACTTTATTTTATCTTTCACCTGTCACATATATACATTTCCCTTTTCTTACCTAGCTGACTAGTTCGATGCATAATATTCCCCTATCGAGCTCAGATAACTTACGCTCCTACCCACAAATTCTTCCCACATCTCTGTCCATAGGACACTATAGGCACACATTGGGAATATCTGCTTTGTCATTCATGGGAGATGTTCCCAATTCACGTTGGTAGTGCTAGTGTCTTGTGGGTAGGCCAGTCGAGGGGCGGGCCATCGCTAATCTCAGGGTCTGAAAAGTGATCGTTTTATGCAAAAAATTGCCTAAGGTCTATATCCATTTCACCCCTCCCAAGTCCGAAGACAATATAGTCAGAACCAAAATTTGGTAATAGCCCTAAAATACTGGGCCAATTGCAATACATCATATGGGCCTTGAAGAATGGAATGGTGAATTGGGATTAATGTACCCCATGAAGTTGGTAGAAGATTTTGTTCAGTTGACTAGCATCATCAAATTTAAATTAATACACTGTTTTAACTATCACATAAGACAAAAAGAATGTAAGTGCATATAGAAAAACAGAAGAGAGAAATTTTAAATATATCATCATCAGGTAGACAACTACATAATTTATTATTTTCCGAAGGTTTCCATGGTTTCAAGTCTTTCAATAGTAAGAAGAACTAGAAATCTCAAAGACAACTGAAGAATGAAAATACATGTCACAGAAAAGGCAAAATAAATTTATTGTGTAAATATATCAGTAACAAATGTATACAATTTCAACATATCTTATTCTTCCTCCCCATCATAATCTTCCCAAGAGGTTTCTCAATCCCTGGTTCAAGCATTACAAAACAAAGACTTCTTATAAATCATCAAGAGTGTTGGCTAATATCCTCAAAATCAAATACACACATTGCCCGACGAAGAAGTCCTAGTTGCCTTGAGTGGAAGAAGGTTCCATTCCATATCTTCACTGCAACACCTGCTTTTAAGGCCAACAACTTGTAGTTGAATAGGCTCACCAGCAAGTGATGCCATCACTTCTTGTGTTCCAGCAGCTACAGCTTTTAGCCGGATTCGCTCAGCCCTGGAACCTATGACCTGTCCCAAGATGGATGCAGCAACAGTGAGGGCCATTGCAGTCTTAGGCATCAAGACCGACTTTCTGAGCACAGCAATGAAGGGCACAGCTGCATGAACAGCTACAAACCAGGAGGGTGAAAATTTCACTGTATGCTCCCTCCATACTCCTAGAGGGATGTTGGCTGCCATTCCCATGACACCAATTACCAACATCTTTGCAGGCAGGGGCTGTGGGCGGAGATTCTTTGCAAAGGCCGTCTGGGCAAGAGCTGCACGTGCTGCAACCACTGCTGGTGGGCACCTCAATTTCATACCTGGAGCGGGCTGAAGAGCCTTTGCAACCAGCGGGAGGACATGGCTCACTGCCCTGTATGACTTAGCAATTGGACAATTTCCTGATTCCAGCCACTCATTGCCTAGCGCCTCATGCTTTGAGTCACCTCCCTGAAAATATGCAAACAAACAATTATGTTAAATGAAGAACAGAGTAGAACATAGAATCTCTTTTGCAGGGTAAATTGGTAATGTAAGCTTTGCAATTATAAGACTGTGGCCTGCCTCTGAAGACGGCTCTTTACGTGATGGCTTGCTTTTCTTTTTCTGCTTCTTCCACTTCTCAGAAAAGGAATCAAAACTAAAGGGCCCTCCTGGTCCAAAGGCTGAGAGACTGATAGTGGCTGTCCTTGCTGCTAAAGGATTAAACTGGGGTGCTGCAGGCTTGGTCTTTAAATTGTCAGAGTGCAAAAACGATCTTCCAGAGAGTGGGACAACACCATCATGTCCATGGAAAAGCCTAAATGCCATTTCAAAATTGGGACCATCTTCGAAAATTGGACCCTTAGCACCTTGTGCCTGAAGAAGGAACAAAATGAAAACTAAGAAAAAGTTCATGACTTGATGTCCAGGGACTTCATCTGGCAGATAATATAAAAAGAAAGAAAGAAAGAAAGAAAGAACCCAAAAACTGGAGATAATGACCAAGATCAAGATGCATAACAACATGATAAGAAGTGCACAAACATCATCATCATCATCTAAGCCTTGTCCCAACTATATGGGGTCGGCTAAAGTGCACAAACATATAAAGAACAAGTTTTCTTAGAATATTAGAAAGAAGCAGTCAGGGACTAATTAACGTACAGGCATTGAGAAATTGGCAGGCGTGAATAAAGAGAAGTTAGTGGGTTCATTAATATTCCTCAAAAATGGGCATCGAAGGATATCCTGATGGGTGAAGAGACAATCAGATGATGGTGGAACTTCATTTTTGCCCCTAAAGAAAATATCCATCTCCAAGGATTGGCTCAATCTGCACAAAAATGGAAGAGGGTTAGTTAGAGATTGGAGCATATTGAGCTGCAAAAATCATCCAGAAACTTGAAAGGGTCATGACATTTTTGGCAAATAAAGGATGAATTTTAGCACAATGCATAAGAACAGGTAAACCAATGCATCATGCAACAGATTAGATTCACAGGACACAACGACTGGCTTGTCAACTGAATCAGGATGGAGGAGTTCAGGAAGACCACCTTATTTGGATAGTTACATTCTGGACCATTTGGTTGGACAGCCATTTACTAAGATATTCTGTTGTCAAACCCAGCTCTTGCAGTAGGCTCTATTTGCATAATCATGGATTACCAGGTTAGGGTAATAAGGTCCATTAGCATGAAATCATGCATCCCATGGGATCATAAGGCATGTCCCGGGAAATTAAAGTCATTTCTGCAAATTTTAGGTCCATAAAACTAATGGCTGCCATATTAAAAACAACTAGGAACCACCGCTAATTAAGCCTCTGAAGGACTTAAAACTGGAGAGTTTAAACAATTAGGAACCGTCACAAATTTATTTAGAATAACAATGAGATCACATAGCCAAAAGCCTAGAAACTTTAAGAGAACACATCCACCAAAACAATGAGTAGATATGGAACTCCGAAGTGAAAAATGGAGAGTTTAAATTACGAACCAATAGATCACTAAAAGAACTTCAAATCCAAGCTTCCCAGAGAGATATTTACTTAAAGAAGCTTGAACTGAACTCAAAGAAAACCCCTAATACCGAAGACAGAGCGGCTAATAGCATTTTCATCCCAAATGCACCATCCATCATAACAAAACTATAAATATGGCAACCAATTTCAGGATATACAGTAGGCGGGGTGAAGGCCAAACCCCGTTATCATACCTTCCGACCTTTTAATGCTAGTACACCTTTGAACTAATAATCCCCATACACTAATCGTATACAAATGAATCGAACAGAAACCATATAAATGAAACTAGAAAACTCAATCTAGGACCAATTTTCCAAAAAAAAAAACAATCGTAAAGAGAGAAAGAAAGAATAAAATATCTTAATCTCAATAAAGTAAGCTATGATCCAACAGAACATATCAATCGTCAATCACCTCATTCGTACCTAAAGCAAAAATATAAATGAATAGATAAGCAAACACATAAATACCTTCAGAAACGCAGACGAGCAAAAACCGAATCCAGAACTCTCCAAAGCGATGCAGATGATGTAGTAAAGAAAATGATAAAAAGAACTAACGAAAGAAAGCACGTTGATACAATGATGCTGAATAAAAAGAATGGTGAAATAAGGGAAGAATTGCAGACAAAATCCACCGTGCAAACCCTTTCTTGATAAAGTAAAAGCGAGGGAAGAAGGAAATTGCCGTGTTCCAAACACGCGCCTATTTTGACAAGTTTCATTGTTCTTTGTTTTGGTACAGCTCCGCTGAAAGAGAGATGGTCAACGGCTGCGGTGTCCGTCGTCCTATTCCTACTACACAATTCAAATTCAATATTTGTTCACATTGGCCTGTGTAATTAAAGAATGGATTTGGTCTAGCCGCCACCGTGGATTTGGTCTTAGGTGCCTTGGTGCGGCTAATTCATTGCCAATTGACGATTCAACTCCTCGGTTGGTTGTTCTTCTTTTTCCTTTGAAAAATTTCAGATAGTATCATTTACTTTAGGTTTAGTAAGATTTTTGTCCCCAAATTTTAAAATGCAATAATTTAGTATTCAAACTTTTAAAATGTACCAATTTAATACATGCCATTAACTAGTTCATGAATCAGTACTTAAGTGTTATTTGAAAAAATACAAATACTCTTTAACTGTCATCTAATTATCTTTATAAATCATCCAAATATTAACAAAAAATAACAGTCCCAAATCCTTTCCTCTTCTGTTCAAAAAAGTTGGGATACCAGAAGACCCATTAAAATATAACCCCAACTTTCTTGAATAAAATAGGCACTATTCATTTTTATCAACATATCGATGGTTGATAAAGAAAATTAGGTGACTTCAAAAGACATTTATATCTTTTCAAATGTCCCTTAATGACCGGTTAAGTGAATTGACCAATAAAAGGCATTTGAAAAAATATTAAATTGACATATTTTAAAAATTGAGACACTGAATCATCACATTTTAAAGCTGGAAAATCAAAATAGCACTAATACAGGATACCAATCAAGAATTTTCCCTTTTCTTTTTCTATAGAAACCAATAAAATAACTTTCATTCCCAATAAAAGGATTACAAAAAAGTTCAAGCAAGATATGTGAGAAATGACGGTGTTTTGACATTTTCCATAGATTCCCATGACAAACTACTCTTCTAAATAGTCCGTCCTTTGACCCAGAGTTGGGTGTTCTCATCTCCCAAACAACTATGCCTGTTGAATAAAATAATCAAATAAATAAAAAACTTTGTATTTGCAAGGAATCGGCGTTGAGATAAAATTACGTGTACTCAATATTCACACACTCACCCTTTAACCGGGATACGCACATTGTTACTCAAGCTCAATTTGGAATGAATACAAATATAAATTTGTAGTGTACAAAATTTTATATTTTACATTATTTTGTATATATTTATACTGTGTATATTTATAGTTATATTCTTTTCAAATTGAACCTTAGGCATAGATGCATAGTTAGGGTAGAGCGTAAATACAAATATGTTCATTGCAAAAGCTTATATACAGTATTTCTACACCTTGTACTTGTATTCTTCCCAAACTGGCCATGGGTGTCGGATAAAAGAGTAATTGACTTCAATATCATTTTGATGAAAAATAGAAGCAAGGGACTGAAGTTGTGTAGAAGAAGCTCCCGAATGGCCAATGCCAAAGTTTTTGTTGGGTTCCATCCTAAATTTCCAATAATAGATCTTTTTAGGAAGTTTCCTTGTACCGTATTTTTTTTATTGATGAAAGAATGCTTCTTATGGAATAAGTGCTTTTTTGAAAAATAAGTACTTTGGTGAAATGGCACTTATTCCAAATATGGGTAGCATAGTTATTATAAAAATGATAGTCAAATAGGCCAGAAAGGAAATAATCATTTAAAAATATGCTTAAAAATTTGGGTTTCTTGAATAAGCGCTTATTATCGGGAATAATGACTTTTTCGGGCTTATTTCTTAAACCCAAATAAGCACTTAATAATGTGGGCCAAATAAAAAAATAATTACTTATTTTTAAGCACTACCGAAGTTGTATTATATTTAATTTGATAAAAATTAAGAGGGAAATATACAGTTGAAGGAAAGTTCTTGAGTTTTGCGAGGCATCAGTAATAATCTTAGGTCTCAAAATGGGTCAAAACATTAAAAAGAAAACCCCAAGTCTATATAATTGGTTAAAAGCCTATATTGTAATTGGAACTTAAAGCTATGAATAGGAATCAACCCTATTAATTAGAAGGACTAGTGCAGGATATACATCTTGCATGTATGCAAGTAAAGAAGGGTAAAGATGAATGCATGTGTATTGAGATTTTGAAAAACCATTTTTTTTTCTTCTTACTAGCATCCCTATTATAATTTACTAGTGTAAACGTACATATCATGTACATGTAATTAACCATGACATGAGATATAGGATTTGGATTTAACTTTTACTATGGCGCTTTTTGTAGTATAGATAATTAGGATACAAAATGCAAATCTAAATCGAATTATGCAAGGGCCGATTTAGTTTATCTGGTCAACTTGGGGTAGTTAGGTTTTCCTTGATATCAAAATAAATTAAAAAAAAAAAGAAAAAGCTATATGATAGGGTGTAGCCCAACCCCAAATCTAGACCCTCTGTCATAACCCAGATGAAGTTGTGATCTCTATAAATTGGATATTTTCCTTGGTTTCAAGTCATAAAAACTAATTTTGATTATACAATGAGATTAACGGGTCTTACAATCCTTGTTCTATACGAAAAAGGCAATTTTGTCTTTGAATTAAAAAAAAAATGTTATTTTAGACCTCAGATTTCAAGAAAATGGCCAATTATAAGCAGATAATGTCCCGTGTTAATAATGGCCAATTACAATCCGTTAAATAATGAATAAAATAATAAGAAATATTGATGTGAAATTATTAAATTCAAAAAACTGAAAATTTGCAAATGGGTCAATGTATAATCATAGATGTTAAAAATAATATATAAGTGGGCGCTAGTTGCAATTTCCTTTATGAGAGAAAAATAACAAGTAGAATCTATGGTTTTTAAAAACGAACTGGTGACCGAATCAGTCAGGGGTCCGGTTATCGGTTCGAATGGTCCGACTGTTCTATTCAAATGGCTGGCCCGTTCTGACAAAAAAATTAAAAATTTGGAAAACGGTCAAAACGGTTCAAACGGTTCGAACGATTAATCGGCTGATTCAGCGGTTTGCTTACCAAAATCAACAGTTTTGGGGAGAAAAACGGTTTTGAAGGAAAACGAAACCGGTCAGGTAATCGAATCTCGGTTTTTCCGGTCCAGTCCAATTTTGAAAACAGTGGTAGAATCCACTTGAAATGGTAAATGTGCTCTCTCTGTTTCTCTCTCCCCTTCCCCTTCTTCTTCTTCTTTTTTATGATTTCCTCTGTCTTCGTCTGCCACAGCAATCCAAACCAATCCTACTACCATAGGATATAAGCCTCTCGCCCATCGCTCTCGACCGATGACATCTCGAGTTTTCTCATAGGATCCAACTTCACGTCTTTACTCTCGCAGAGCTGAAGGTGATAATGGAGAGTTTCTCAACAAGTAATTTGCTCGGTGAAGGGGGATTTGGGCCGGTTCAGAAAGTGTTCATTGATGGCAAGCTCAAACCTGGATTAAAGGCTCAGCCTGTGGCTGTAAAGCTGATGAACTTGGAAGGCACGCTAGGTCACAGGGAATGGCTAGTAAGAATCCATTTTATATCACTCCCTTGTTGTCTTCTCGAAATCTATTTGGTTGACGAATGGCGTTGGATAGAAATATAGAATGGATAAGCTCGAATAAGATTGATTCAGCTGAACATTAAATAGTTTTATAAAATAATTCGCTGATCATTAAATGATTATTTGCCTTTTCTTTAAATCTTAATCTTAATATTACATGTCTGATATGGTCTGCTTCATCTCATTTGAATGTTGTTATAGACGGAAGTGATCTTTCTTGGGCAATTGAAGCATCCACATCTAGTGAAGCTGATAGGATACTGTTGCGAGGACGAGCACCGGCTTCTTGTGTATAAAATACATGGTGCGAGGAAGCTTGGAGAATCAACTCTTTAGAAGTAAGTATGCTCTTCCGACAACTTCATTAATTATGGTTCCCTAATATTTTGATACTATGTCTAGTTAACTATTCAAACTTCTGATGTTTGTGTCTATGTTGAATTTTGGAAAAAAATTTTATAGGTATCTTGTATTTTAGGTTGAGTGTCAATTTAGTACTTGAATTTTAAAATGCGACGATTTAATATTTAAATTGTCATTTTGTGACAATTTTAATGGACCGCTACTTATGTATATCACGTAACCTCAAATGCTATTTAAGAATTTTGAAAATATCAAAATTATCATTAAAAAATACATTGTTAATCATCTTCTTTCTCTCTCTATATGTTGAATTCATCAGTTGCAACGAAACTCCACTACTCCATCTCCTCTCTCACATATTCTTGCAGAGCAGTTTCCTTGAGATACAGTGTAAGCCACCTGCTGTAGACCAACCCAACCCACGTCCGCCTCATCATGTGTTAGCTGCCCTCGGTTCATCTGATCCACATGCGACAAGCCCTCCAGAGCTACCATCGAGGCCAACTTCGAAGCCATCCTCTTTTCTACTAGAGGTGCCTGCAACTCATACAGCTCTGAATATCGAAATCGCGCTGCCGCCTGAAGTGAAGTAGGGATCCCCAATCCTCCTCCTGCTCCTCCATCTTAGATACCGTCGTCCGTCGAGGCCTAATCCTGGGCCGGAATTTCCAGGACCCCAATTTCGTCTCTGAGCATTCCGGACATTCCGATACCAAAGCCGCCGGATGTAGTGCCACCTCAACCGCCGGATCAAATACCACCTAGGCCTCCGAGTATCGACCCACCACTGTTGATGCCTCCCGATATCATACCACCCATGGGGCCGTTTGTAGTTTTTTTGCAACTAGTTGGTGAATCGTGAGGATTATTCTTTAATTAAGTTTGATATATATAACGTGCTTATTTACAGTGTACATAAAAGGGTTATATTTCTCATTGGTGAGGATTATGTTCGCTTTTATTTACTTATAGTTTTTCAAAGAAAAAAGTTTCCATCGAAGAATCACAACAAATATCAAATCATAAGTAGGAGGTCAAAACAGTGGCGATGAACAGTATGATGCGGAAACCATGGTTCGGACCGAAACAGTGTTTATAGACTGGAACAGTGGCGGTGAATAGTGCGGGAACAGCGGTGGTGAACTTTTGTTTTGTTTTGACTCTATTAACATTGGTTTTCTTTCTTTGATTTTCTCTTTGGTGGTGGGGAACAGTGGCGGTGTTTAACGATGGAGACGATGATCAGTAAAAATTAGATGAAACTTAAAGGGAATTTATGTCTTTTCTCATGACACTTAACAGTGAGTTAATACTATGTATTAGATTGTCATAAAATGAAAGTTGGGATCCTAGATTGTTGCATTTTAAAATTCGGGTATTAAATTGGTACTTGACATAAAGTACAAGGTAATTGTCGAGAATTTTCCCTTGAATTTTGAATTTATATGGGCTGAATGGGATGTTTGGTGAGAGGTCAAATCACCGTGACTGGTTTGGGTTGTAGTGGCAAACGAAGACAAATGAAAGCATGAAGAAAAAGAAGAAAAAGAGAGAGAGAGAGACTTACATCTTCAAGTGGGCCCATTTATTATTTTTTTTTCATAAAGAAAATTTCAAGTGGGGCCCATTTATTATTTTTTTTTTAAATAGAAATTTTCAAATTTATATATTATTTTCAACATTTATGATTATATATTAAACAATTTTTTATTTTATTTAACATTTATAATTATATATTATATCAGCATTTCCTATTATTTTATTCATTATTTAACAAATTATAAAGGACATCACTAATACCAAGCATTATATATCGACCTTTTTCTTGAAGTCTATGATCTAAATTGGCCTTCTTTTCAATTTGAGGGCAAAATTGCCTTCTTCGAATACAAATTATACAATGCCAATTTATACCTTTACCCTTAACTTATATTAGTCTTTTTTTAGAAGGGAATGAGCTACAATGCAAAAGAACCGGGGGTTACCTCTTCCCCAACTGTCACTAAAACAAATAAAACAGAGGTCCCTACGGATACAATATCTAAATAAACACAGTAATTGTAAATGAACGTACCAAATTAGACACCGTTAAAACGCAGATACCTCCCTCAAATCAACACAAGTAATTTAAATAAAACGCAAGCAATAAAATTAAATTGAAGTACCAGATCAGACACTGTTAGTTAAAAAATAAAGAAAAGTGAATAATGCCCCTTATGAAAAATGAATTTTGCACAAACTGCTCTCCAGAGTTAAATAAAAACCCTTTTGTTCTTTATTTTTTTGGCTTAATGAGACCACGAAATTATTTTGTTCTTTATTTTTTTGGCTAAATGAGACCAGGTTCAATCCTCGCAAGTCTCATCCTCACATCGTCTTCACGACACTTACAACTGTGCATTTAACATCCTTGTACTAATATATTTTTCATCCCTGGGAAGATGTTTCCAATCTATGGCTACAATTATTGTGATGATGGTGTGAGGACTAAGGGTGTCAATGGACCGGTTTTAGATTGGATCTCATCCAATCTAAAATCAATTTAGATGAATAGATGGACCAATAAGATATATTAGATTTGACCAATCCAATCCATAATATTTATTAGATTAAAGTGGACATGGTCCATCCGTAATAATTTATATTGGATTGGGTTGGATTAAGCCAATATTTAGTCCATTGATATAAGATAAGAATATATGTGTCAATGGACCAGGTTTGGATTGAAACCAATTTAAATCAAAATGAATTTGAACAGATTGAATGGTCCAAACATTGAATTGGAACAATCCAAATTGATCCAAAACATTCACTAGATTGGATTGAACCTAATCCATTTATAATGGACTCACATTGGACTGGATCGGATTGGACCAAATCCAATCCAATTGACACCCCTAGTGAGGACCCCAAGGAGTGAATCCCATGACCCCTAACTCTAGTGAAGGTTGGAATCAAATCTCAAATAAATCTCTACTACCAATGAGTTCACATTAATACCCCACAGAGTGAATCCCACAACACATCCCAGCCATGTAATGGGAACATCTCCCCATGATAAGTAGAGGAGGTGCTTACAATGCATGCTGGGATGTGCATATAGGGCATTAATCTAAACTTACAACCAGTCAAATATCTGAGTTGAGATCTCCTGCCAATAAAACACGTTCCAACCTTCTACCAACTTAATTTAACACCACACATCTCACTATGAGACTGAGACCTACCATGTATAAGATGTGTGATGTGAGATTATGTTGGTAGAGTATTGGAATGTATTTTAACAGCAGATGATCCGGACTCCAAATACCTTACCAATCGAGCTAAATGGGGTGCGCTCTTAGTCTCTCACCTTTCAAAGCTAGATAAAGAGTAAATAGCAAGTACTTGATCTTCATCCTTCTAAAAGAGGGAACATTCTAGAAATAATCTAGGTTGTTTAAATAATTCCATCCCTAGACACAAAGGAGGAATCCAGATTTCATACTTACACTATCCTCACAAAACTTGCAGCCGTGAATTACAAATATGTTTGATCGTGTAGCACTAGCACCTGTTTATTTGATTTGCTGACTCAGTGTGTCGGATACTACGAGCCGCGTACCATACAAAAGCATTGCCCGATTGCCATCTACCGCATTACCCCTGCCGCGGGCAATAAAAACAATAGAAAAAAAAACCTTGTTTTCCTACAATTTCATCCCCTTCTCTCAGGTATTCTCTCCATCAGATCTGGTTCTTTTCCGTTTCACCCATGCATTTTCCTTGAGATTTTTCATAGAGAAGAGCGGAGGTCGATCTGTCTTTCATCGACCTCTCCCATCTCAGCTACCTGCAATTTAACCCGTTTTGAATCTCTCAATTCCTGATTTTCGTTGACTTCCGCAGTTGAATTTACACTACTTTAGGTCGGCCTTGTTTCTCTGTTTCTTACCAATGGCTGAGGATTTCGAGTTCTCTGATAAGGTTCCCCCATCATTTGAGCACGGGGTACGTTTCTAAATTCGAATCATATTCATTCTTTTTCTTGATCGAATATATATTTTTTTCTTGCGGGATTCTGGTGCAAAACTCTAGGAATTACATAGTCTTCAGATCCGCTCTCATAGTGAGCTCGTGTTTTTTGTTTCTCTCTCTCTCTCTCTCTCTTTTTTCTTCTGTTCATCAATATTTGCTTTATCTGAATCTGTTATTTTTTTTCTCCGATTACGTTTAAGCTTGAATGATCATATTGCAATTTTAGCACAGAATGTATTATTCCACTTCTGGTTATGCTGTAAGTTTTTGCCCGAGTTATTTGAGTTTTTGTTATTAGATTATTATATCAAAATTCATGTCGTATAACTATAAGCTTGCTCGATGAACTTATTTTTTATCTATCTCTGATATTTCACGATACTGAGTTCTGTTCTTAGCACCGGTTAAGGGTTGCATTACATGCATTTAATTCTGGCGTTTTTAACTCTTAGCACTGGTTTAGCTGCAATATAGCATTATAGCCTCTGTGTTTAATGCATGAGAGGCGAACCACGCAAAGTTCCGTGGCTGCATTTCAACCTTCTCTTGCCTCTTTTCCCCTGATTCTGTCATTTGTTTCGTATTAGCAGTGCTGTCAGTAACAATAGCTTTTCTGTTTAATATATGAGAGGTGAACTGTACAGAGTGGCGTGGTTGCATTTTAACCTTCTTTTTACTCTTTTTTTTTCCTGATTTTTTATTTGTAAAATATATAGATCAGAATTTGAGATTGTTGTTTAGTTCTCAGACTTGGATGCATTCGTAATCTGAGGTGGCTCTAGGCAGCCTTTACTGGCCTAGGCTCCTTCGTACTGTTATTTGATTTAATAAAATACCTTACCTTTTACAATATATATATATATATATATATATATATATATATATATATATATAGATCTTAATCACGGGATGGAAACCCTTTCTTTACAAGTGAAATAAAGGCAAATTCAACGCATGAATTGTGGATTCATCTCTAGTTGCTTCTCCATTTGTCTTCTCCTCAACTGGAGCAAATGGGTGAAAAGATTATTATGGTTAAGGACTGGAAATTCTTTGTAAATAAAGTAGCATGTTGACAGGTTTTATCTTTTTCATCAGATATGGAGTCATTCAGGATGAGTGATAGTTATACTGATGGTATTCTTAACTTGAATTTATAAACAATTTTGAATTACTCTATGACCATCCAACCACTGGCATCAWTGTAGCTATAACTTAGAAGTCTAAAGAGTTTATGGACCAAATTAGTTAGCTTGGTTTTAGTAATATTCTATTTTCAGGTTCTATCATTTACCAATTCAACCTATAGTAGATCATATTATGTTCTGCAATCCTTATCCTTGCAGTATCGTTTTCTTGGGTGTTTTTTTTTTTTTTTTTTCTAACTTAGAGTTAGTATACTGTCTCAGAGAAGGATTCCAAACATTGTATATTAGGGGTGCAAATCAGATAGTCCAATTTGAAAAAATTCCGAGCCTGCCAAATTGTACATCTACTTTGCATGTGGTTCTTTGGATGTTTTGATTTACCTATTGTCAATGATAGATGCATGCATGTATAGTTCCCTACAGGATACCAAAGTTGGTGTACCACAAWGTCTGGTGAATTGGATCTAATTGAACTGAAGTTAAATGGGAGAACTATTTTCTTTCTTTTTTTTTTTTGGGGTTACAAATCCTTCTTTAGAATGCTCATCCAAATCTTCTAGGTTTTGTTATRTGAAAAATATTACATGTATTTGCCATTTTCAGTACCTGGGTAATGAGTGCATTGGCAATTTTSTGAGTGAATGGCTAGTTCTTTTCAGCTGTCCAGTTATGTTTTCATATTACAGCATTGCACCTTTGCATYGCCACAAGTTATAAGGGTTTTGTCATAATATCATCCTGACATTGACTCCAGTCCCATAGTCTGTTAGAAATTTTTACTTTCTTCATGTTATGTTTTCTGCTCATCCATTTACCATTTAAAAATATTTTTATGCCWCAAAATTTGTCATTTTTATATCTTGTTTACATTTTAGAACCAAAAAAAAAAAATCTTCTCTGTTTGTTATGAATTTCCAAGATTGTTGAGACAGCTAGGATGTTATATCTCCATAAGATCTCATTTATGGTCTTATCCAGTGTCACCATTAAAGTGTAAATTGATGCAGATGTATCATAACCCAGACCCACAAGACAGAATTTTGTTGCAAAGACAATTCTGTCTACAAGAATACTTTGATTTCCTAGTTTATCCAATGGTGCTATCCTAGTATCCTCTAATAACCTGCACTCTTCTGATTCGCTTTAATTTTATATTGTTTGGTATTGCTTGGAACTGGAACATCGAAGATAAGGTACGGAAGGTAAATAGTTGTGAATGTTGAGGCAATTGACAAGAAAGAAACTTGTAAAGAAGATAAGGATGRTAACATTATAGTATTCAATTATGAATTWATTTTCCAGTGGAATGTTCCTTTGGTTTCACTATATTTTTTTGTGTTACTTGAATTACATTCTAGAGGAAGGAGTAGGAAATGAGTAGTTTGAGATAGAAATATGGTGTTACTGCAAACTGGATCTACAACTTTTTCTTCTTCTTCTTCTTCTTCTTCTTCTTCTTCTTCTTCTTCTTCTTTTGGAAAGAAATGTTCCTTGTTTAAATGATCTCTCAAGGAAGTCCAATGACCCAGAGTTGCAAAGAAGCACTTACGAGCAAGAGCTGAAAATTGCTGAACTGGCTCAGCAGTTGCTTCAGTCAATTTGCCCCAAGAACCCAAATGTGTGCCTTGAGCAGCATCACTAACAGCTAAAAGCTGTAATTAGCAATTATTTATTTCTCTGTTAATATTGTTTATGCAAGCAAAAATGAAAAATCTGCTTACTGATCAAAAAGAAGAGAAAAAAATCAGCTTGAAGATCACCGAAGACAA